CGGACGGCGCCCCTCGCAGGTGCTGTGGCCACAGTTCCTTAAACATGCCACGTAGTAGCCTTGATCCAACTGTATTTGGGTTCTTCTTATCCTTAATACCACTCCCCTCCTGGTTGTTTTCATCATAACAATGATAAAAAAAAATTTTTCCCCCTGGCGGGTTTAAAAGCAATGGTCAGTGTTAGACTGAGTCACCTTGCAAAACTGTTTACTCTGCTGTGCCTTCCCCATATCGGTCCCACCTGGGTCACCGGTGGGATGAAAACATCCTTGATTTGCACCTTATTAAAAAAAAAAAAAAAATCACTAAAGAACTTGTTTCCGGTAGGTCCAGAAACCTTGATCACTAGTAACTGTAAGAAAGCAGCTTTGGGAGTAAGGAGTGGGGGCAACTGTTAATGGAAATGTCAAGAATTAACTACTATTTGCGAAGGTAAAAAATTAGATAAACAAATAAATTACCCAGTATCCTTTCTAGGGGACTTTGAGATTCACAAGGGGCCATTCATTGCAAAAACATTCAAAAGCATACATTCAAGGACTCCCCAATGTCATTCACATCTATGCGACTGCAAATCCCAAACTTACAGATTTCTATTCCAAACCCCATTTTATTCAATTAGATTTGACCGTTTGTTTCCTAGAAAATTACAATTTAATAATGCTAGGATAGCAGAAACTTGCTGTTCAGTGTTGAGATGCTAAAGCAAATCGAATAAATGAGGTAAAAGAGCCAAAATAGAAATTTTTCAAAGGGCAGTGGAGAAAAGTCAAATATAATGAAATGTGCAAAGATCTGGAGTTAGAAAGCTAAAAGGGAAAAACACCTTCAGCACTTCAAGTGAGAAAACCAAATAAAAATTTCAAGTCTCAACTTCCAGTATTGAAAGATTCTATGTCCTGGTGTGGCCCTGTGGGTTAATGTGTCAGATTGCAAAGCCATTTGAACTTCAAGGCTGGTGGTTCAAGCTCACCAGCTGTTCTTCAGAAACCCTATACAGGGTCACTATGGGTTGGAACCTACTCAACAGCACTTAACAACAACAACAATGGACAAAATGGATTCCTACTGGGGTGCTGTAGAATCAGCACTAAACTGGGAACCACAAAGTCAGTGGTTCAAACCCACTTGCTGCTCCTTGGAAACTCTATACAGGGTCACTATGAGTTGGAAACAACTCTATACAGGGCTTAATACCAACAAATGGACTAAATACTTAATGAAGCAAATAGCATCAAAAGGAGATTCAAGAATACAGAGTCACTGTACTAAAAAGAAATGGTCTTATGTTCAATTATTTCAAGAGGTAGCATATAATCAAGAGCCCATGATACTGAAGGAAGAAGTCCAAGGTGCACCAAAAGCATTGGCAAAGATAAAGGCTCAGGGAATTGAAATCGTTCAACAAACTAATGCAGCACTGGAGACACTAACTCATCTACTTGATTAGTATTTATACCCATTCCAAAGAGGGAGACCTGAGGGGATGCAGAAATCATTGTACAATATCACTGATATTCCATGCAAGTAAGCTTTTATTAAAGATAATACACAAATTCAAACTGTATTCAGACAAGAATGTGGAACAAGGGACAGCATTGCTGACATCAGATGGATCCTAGCTGAAAGCAGAGAATACCAGAAAGATGTTTACCTGTGCTATATTAACTACATGAAGGCTTTCGACTGTGTGGTTCATGACCAGCTATGGACAACAATGTGGAGAATGAATATTCTGGAACACTTAATTTTGCTCATAAGGAACCTGTACATAGACCAAGAGTTGATCAAACATAACAAAGGAACACCAAATAGTTTAAAGTCAGGAAAGATGCACGCTAGGGTTGTATTCTTTCACCATACATACTCAATTTGCATGCTGAATTATATGAAGAATTTGAGAAGC